GACCAGGAGTTGAGCCATGACCTCCTGGTTCACAGGTGGATGCTCAACCATTTGAGCAGCACCTGCCGGGCCTGGGTAAACACTTGCTGAGTGAATGAATGAACGGCAGCCTGGAGTCAAATGACGGGGCAGTTCTGCTGATGGGCCTCGTGCCTTTCAGTCCTGTCATTCCTCCCGTGGGCTTTCCTCCATCACAGGATATAAAACCCCTGTCATCGGGAATCCGGGTGCCACCTTGGACCAGTTCGATGCCATTGGTTTTCTGACAATGAAATCCGGAAGCTGGTCGGCTTCCCCCTGCTGAGGAGACTGAAGAGCCTCCTGGTGAACAACAACAGGACACGGTGAGTGTCTGCCGGGCTGGCGATCTGGTTCCTGGTGTAATGAAACTTCTCTCGCAGGTAAGAGCTGAACTTGTCCTGGGCTGGCCCAGCAGTTTCCAGCTTTTTTCCTCTCATCTCATGGCCCACCCCATGTCATCAATCAAGTTCTGCAGCACATGGATTCTGACCCCAAAAATAGACTCTTACTGATTTCAGAAAGAAGGGAGAGAGAAAGAGAGAGAAAGATGCGTCACTGATGAGAGAGAATCATGGATCGGCTGCCTCCTGCACGCCGCCCCCCCCCCCCCCACACACACACACACACAAACATACACACTGGGCAGCCCACAACCCGGATATGTGCCCTGACTGGGAATGGAACCGTCACATCCTGGTTCCTAGGTGGATGCTCAAACACTGAGCCACACCGGCCACCTGGGGTTCCTCCTTTTCTTGGTGTCCTTAGTGTGTGAGCCGGAAGAGCCCATGACAGCCTCCGGGAAGTGTGGGTCCCAGCACCATGCTGCTCTCGCTCGCCCTGGGGCCTCGGACCAGGGTCTGCCTTTGTGCCTCTGTCCCTCGGGTTCGGGAGAGCGGCCTCCCAGGTTCTGGCCACTTGGAGTCTGAACTCCTCCAAGGAGGACGGGGTCACATTGTCCGCAGCTTCCCCGTCGCTGACTCGGCTTTTGCTGTGTTGCAGCCCCGTCGGCGAGGCGCTGGACCAGGCCTTGCCCTGCCTCACGGAGCTCGTCCTCACCAACCACAGCCTCCTGGAGCTGGTGAGCCCCAGGGGCGGGTGCCCAGGCGGCGGGAGGCTCCACATCCTGCAGAAGCTGGGGAGGTCCAGGCAGTGCCTCCCACTCCCTCTCCCCTCCTTCCCCCATCCTCCCCATCCCTCTCCTCCGCCTTCGTCTGACTCTGGGAAGCAGCCCGTGATGGGTCCCATCCGCCTGGCATCTGTCTCCCAGGACATGCCCGTCCCCATCCAGTAGGGGACCTGCAGGAGGCAGTGATCCATGATTCTCATCATTGCTGTCTCTCTTCCTCCCAAATCAATACATACGTAATTGTTTTATAATTGCCATTTCCCGCCCCCCCGCCAACAGCCTTGCTGGGGCAGCTGAATTCCCGACTGAGCTGGGCACCTACTCAGAGCTGATCCGATGCGGCCAATGCCACCCCACCCGCAGGACCTCCATCCCTGGTGTGGAGGAGCAGAAGGCAGCCGATTCTCACCGTGGATGTGTATCCCTGTCGCTGAAATCAATAAAAATACGTTGCTTTTCTTTCACAAAGAAACACACTGGCAGCTGTGCCAGCTTGCAGGGCTTCGGGTGGGGACGGCCTGTCAGGTGAGGTGGCAGTGGCAGGAGGAAAGATCCCAGGTTTGATTCCAGTCAAGGGCACATACTTTGGTTCCGGCTACATACCCAGTAGGGGGTGTGCAAGAGGCAGCTGACCAGTGATTCTCTCTCATTGATGTTTCTAACTCTGTGTCCCTATCTCTTCCTCTCTGTAAAAAATCAATAAAATAAAATTAAACAACCTCATGTCATATTTTCTGAGGACATTAACATCGTAGGTATTAAACGCCTAAAAACGTTGAGTAATAACTGCATCTATGGGGGGGAAATTCCCTTTATTCATATACCTGCAAACACCACTTTTGTGGTGTTATGTCGCCGTCTTGTGGACACATCTGGTATTGCACCGTTAATTTATTTTTCCCCCCCAGCCATCCCAAAGCAAAAGTACAGTAAAGTGACAAGAATAGCACAGAGGCCTGTCTTCAGGAGCAATCTGACATTACCCGTGTGTTACCCCGTGACCCCGCACACGTTTTAATTTCTTTTTCTCCCAAATAGCACGGGCGATTTCCCGTAAATCGGGGCCTTCTCCTGCACAACCACCCGCATCCGGGGTTCCCTCTGATGCGTGTCTGCCCTCCAGTCCTCTGATGGGATGGCCATGAGGCCCGTTGTCCCAGGAATGCCCTCGGCAGGCGGCCGGAGACCCCGCCGACACCCCGTTCCCTGAGAGGCGCACTTTGCATGGAGTCTTCGCCTCTCCCAGCCCCCCTCCCGGGACCTGGCACAGACTGGAGCGCTTCAACGCTTTGCTGAAGCGGCGGATACTAATGTCTGGAATCGGGGCCCCTCCAGGCTGCAGAGACGCCCCCCGGAAGGCAACCAGAACAGAGCACGGAGCCGAGGCGCCCCGGACCTCCGAACCCCAAGAGATGGGGAGCTGGGGGACCCCCCTCGGCAGGGGTGGATCAGACCCATGCAAATGCAGTGGGAGCGCTAAGTTAAGGCGGTGCTCACCCTGAGTTAACAGTTAACAGCCCGCAGCCAAGCAGTCTTTCTCTCCGGGCACAGCGATTGCACCTGGCTGCGCCCCTGCAGTGTGGCTCAGTGGTTGAGCTTGGACCTGGGAAGCGGAAGGTCTCAGATCTGATTCCTGGTTCGATGCCCGGGTTGGGGCCGCCACGCCTGGTGTGGGGGTGCAGGAGGCAGCCGATTCTCGCCGTGGATGTGGATCCCCGTCGCTGAAACCAATGAAAAGGGGCTATTTTCTCTCAGAGACAAACGCGGTGGCGGCTGTCCGGCTTGCGGGGCTGCGGGCGGGGCAGGCCTGTCAGGGAGGTGGCAGCGGCAGGAGGCCTGGAAGGAGGCACTCCAGGAGGCAGAGGAGGTGGTGTCTCTCTCGGGAGGGCCCTGTCCTGGGGCCGCCTGACCGTGGCTGCAGGGTCGCAGGCTGGGGGTGAGGGTTGGAGAGCAGAGTCCCTCCCGGAGGACCCGGCGCTTCAGTGCCTGGTAAGTCCGCCTCCGATTCTCAAACAAATGTCCTTTTTGTCTCTGTTCTTTGGAGCTTTGAGTGCAGAGGAGACCGTTAACACCACTGATGCCCTCCGGCCGGTGTGGCTCAGTGGTTGGGCTACGATCTCTGAACCAGGAGGTGGTGCGGTTCCATTCCCGGTCAGGGCACAAGCCAGGCTGTGGGCTCCATCCCCAGAGTGGGGTTTGCATGTAGCAGCCAATGGATGGTTTTCTCTAATCTTTCGTATGTCTCTGTCTCTGTCTCTCTCCCTCTCCCTTCCCGCTGAGATAAATAACATATTGAAGAAAAACATTTTTTTCTTAAAGCCCGGTAAGCAAAATGGCATGTGCACATATGTGGATATATATGCAATTTGGTACTTATGCTATTTAGAATAAACAATCTTCAAAACTTCATGTCACATTTTGAAGGCGTTAACATCATAGATATTTTAATGCCAAAAAACGTCGAGTTTAATGCCAAAAAAAGGAGCATTTGCAGGGAGTTTAGTAATACCTGCATCTATGGGGGGAAAAATCCCCATTATTAGTCCATATACCTGCTAACACCGCTTTTGGGATGTTATGTCGCCGTCTTGTGGACACATCTGGTATTGCACCGCTTAAACTTTTGTGTGCGTTTGTTTTTGCCCAGCCATCCCAAAGCAAAACTACAGTAAAGCGACATGTATAGCACAGAGGCCTCTCTTCACGAGAATTCTGAAATTACCGGTGTGATACCCCGTGACCCCGCACACGTTTTAATTTCTTTTTCTCCCAAAGAGCAGCGGCGATTTCCTGTAAACCAGGGCCTCCTCCTGCAAACCATCCCCTTCGGGGGTTCACTCTGGTTCGTGTCTGCCCTCCAGTCCTCTGACGGGATGGCCCTGTGGCCCGTTGTCCCAGGAATGCCCTCGGCAGGCGGCCAGAGAGCCCGCTGACACCCCCTTCCGGTGAGAGGCGCTCTTTGCGTGGAGTCTTCGCCTCTCCCGGTCCCCCTCCTGGAACCTGTCACAGACTGGAGCGCTTTGACACTTTCTTGAACTGGCAGATACTAATGTCTGGAATTTAGGATCCTACAGGCTCCACAGATGCCCCCGAGAATCCAAGAAGAACGGGAGAACGTAGCCAAAGGGCCCTGGATCTCCAAACCACAAGAGAATTGGATCCCGGCTCCTCCTTTGCTCTGGCCTGGACACCCAAGAGCGGGCTCTTTAAGCTGGCCTCAGCAATAAACGTTGCTTAGCGACGGGCGCAGAGCACGCTGGGAAATGTAGTAGCAGTGGACCCGGTATACGCCCGGAAGTGCGTCACGACTCGGTCGCGATGAACGCCGGGAAGTGTGGCCGAGTGGCCGCGTTGCATGCTGGGAGGTGCGTCTTACGTTGGACGCTCTGCATTCTGGGAAGTGCGTAATGCGTCAGTCGAAAGGTACGCCGGGAAGTGTGACAGTGCCGCTACGTTGCGTGTCAGCAGGTGCGTCTTGCGTCGGTCGCGTGGCATGCTGGGAAGTGTGTCAAGCTTTGGAGGCAAGGTACTACCGGAAGTTCGGGAGGCGGGACTAAAAGGGAGGTGCGTCTAGGTGAACGCGGGGCACGCCGGGCAGTGTGGCAGCGTCGATGCGTAGCATGCCTGGAGGGGCGTCTTGCGTCGGTCCTGTGGCATGCCGGGAAGCGCGTCTTGCGCCAGTCGAAAGACACGCCGGGAAGTGTGGCAGTGTCCCACGTTCCGTGTCAGAAGGTGTGTCTTGCGTCGGTCGCGTGGCATGCTGGGAAGTGCGTCAGGCTTTGGTGAAGAGGTACTACCGGAAGTGCGGCTGTTTGGGAGGAGGGACCAGACGGGAGGCGCGTCTAAGGGAGCGCGGGGCACGCCGGGAAGTGTGTCTGAGGCCGCAGAGGGGACTGTGTGGCGGGAGCCCCGGGCGCCGAGGCCGGAGGAGGAGGCGGCGGGATGGCGGAGCGGACGGCGGAGCGGACGGAGCGGCCGGCGCGGTGCTCAGCGCCGTGCGGGGCCGCGAGCCGGGCCTGCGGGGTGAGCGCGGGCAGCGGGCGGCCTCGGGATCCCGGGTGTGCGGGCTGCAGCTTTCAGTCCTGTCGTTCCTCCCGTGGGCTTTCCTCTGTCACAGGATATAAAACCCCTGTCATCGGGAATCCGGGTGCCACCTTGGACCAGTTCGATGCCATTGGTTTTCTGACAGTGAAATCCGGAAGCTGGACGGCTTCCCCCTGCTGAGGAGACTGAAGAGCCTCCTGGTGAACAACAGCAGGACATGGTGAGTGTCTGCCGGGCCGGCCATCTGGTTCCCGGTGTGAACTTCAACAAGAACCCCACAGAGAAAATAGTGCAAATCTCCCCTTCCGCCCAGTGCCCTGTTATTCCTTCCCCGATGCTCCCTGTGACCGTGCAGGTGAACATCAGTGGCTCGTCCGCTGCTCTGTGCTCGGGGGTTTGTGGGAACGCCCCGGAAGGCCCCGCGTGGACTTGTCTCCCTTGAACTTGACCTTGGCTCTTTGCAGTATTCTCAGGAACCGCCTGTACGTCATTTACAAGGCCCCCCGAGTGCGTGAGCTGGACTTCCAGAAGGTGAAGCTCAAGGTAAGTGTGACTGATCGGGAGTCAGCATCCCCTGGGGGGGTTCAGGTTTGATATTGTTATTGGGGTTTTTAAGTGTCTAAAGGGCTTTGCTGTCGGTTTGTGATGCTAACGTGGGAAAGGAAACGTTAAGGTTGGTGCTTAACCACTGAGCTCGACCGGCAAGGCCCTTGGGGATTTTCTACGGAAACATTGATACAGACAGTATTTCATAGCCGTGGGTTGAAACCGAACACAAGGGGACCCTGTGGACGTGGCCGCTGCGTGTACAGGATGGCTTAGTAGTTGGAACACGGGTGCGAGGCCCAGGTCTTAGCCTCCCAGCTCTGCCCTCAGTGAATTTCTGAGTCCCCACTTAGCCTTGAATCCTCCTCCTCCTTAAACCTGAGGCGGTAGCAGTGCCAACCTCAAAGGCCGTTGGTGTCGTTTTGTTTTGTTATTAATCTCACCCGAGGATATTTTCCCCTTGGTTTTTAGAGAGTGGAAGGGGGAGAGAGAGAGTGAGAAACATTGATGTGAGAGAGACATGGCAATTGGTTGCCTGACCAGGGCCCGGGGTGGGGATGGAGCCTATAACTAAGATCATGCCCTTGACCGGAATTGACCCCAGGATCCTCCACTCCACAAGCTGATGCTCTAGCCACTGAGCCACACCAACCAGGCCTCCAAGGTCTGTGGGAGGACTCAGCAAGGTGCTTACTTGCAGCACTTGGCACCGGGTCTCCCTCGGCGAGTTCAGGATGAGCGCGGGCGGGCTGGGCACGGGGTGTCAAGTGGAAACTCACAGTGGTGCACGCTGCCTGGTTGGCTAGACCAGTGGTTGGCAATCTCATGAGTCCACAAGAGCCAAACGTCAACAGTACAACCGTTGAAATTTCTTTTGAGAGCCCATTTTTTTAAAACTTAAACTTCTTCTGACGCCACATTTTTAACATAGACTCGGCCAGGCCGTGGTATTTTGTGGAAGAGCCACACTCAAGGGGCCAAAGAGCCGCATGTGGCTTGCGAGCCGCAGTTTGCTGACCACGGGGCTAGACTGTGGCCGGGCCCCTAGCGAGGCTGGCAGCTGGAAGGGCCGCTGGAGTTGAAAGCGAGTGAGCCGTTCAGAGACGGTGGTTCCCACGGGGTGTCCCGGGCCCTGGGGGTTGTGAGGCCTGAACCTGGCGATATTTGCTCACGTCTCACTTAAGGAAGTCCTTCGTGAACCAGACGCCTCTGCCATCTTTTCCTTTGGGACGTGATCATCCCTTTCAGTCCCTGCCAGCGACAGCTGGTCCCTGACTGGAGACAGGGGCTGCTGGGCGGGTGCCCTGTCCTGGGCTGGCTATCCAGGGCCTCAGCCGGGCACTCATCCCGAGCAGCTCCGTCCCTGAAACCCTGTGCTCCCCCCCCCCCCGGCTTTGTGTCTCCTCAGGCCCCGGCCACAACGGGGAGGAGAAGGTGGAGGAAGACGCCGTCACACGGCTCCTGAGTGTCTGGGGCCCGGCCGCCGGGGACAAGGTCCTGCCTTGAACGTGGAATGTTGGCGTCAAGCTTCGCCGAAGGCTCCGGCGGCTGCAGTCGTTTCTAATTCACATTCTGAGCTCTCACCGCCTGGTCCTCAGAGCGGAACAGACACCCACTGCCTGCTGCCCGGGCTGTGCGCCCAGTGGTGTGTGTGTGTCTTTAAGCTGGACTAGGCCTCCGCCTGTAAAATGTTTGGATGTTTAAACGTTAATAAAACTGGTGTGAACGGCAGCCGCTGTTTGCTCTCAACTCTTGCTTTCTCCTGCCCAGGCTGGGTGACGGCCCAGGCACGGAGGGAATGACTGGGGTTTCTCAGGTCTGAGCACACCGTGGACACAATGCCTCTTGCCACTGACCAGAGCAAGCCACCAGGGCCACCCCGGATCAGAGGCCCGGAGGTGCGCTCTCCCTCCTTGAGCCCACAGGGAGGGTAGGGCTGTAAAGAAGGACAAACTGGTATGGCTCAGTGGGTAGATTGCCAGCCCTTGGACTGAAGGGGCCTGGGTTCGATTCCAGTCGAGGGCACATAACTCAGTTGTAGGCCGATCCCAACCCAGAATTGGGCGAGTGCAGGAGGCAAGCAATTGATGTTTTTCTTTGTTTCTCCCCCTCCCTGCCTCTTTAAAATCAATGGAGCCCTAGCCGGTTTGGCTCAGTGAGACTAAGGGATCCCAAGTTAGATTCCAGCCAAGGGCCCATGCCCTGGTTGCAGGCTCCATCCCCAGTAGGGGGCATGCAGAAGGCAGCCGATGGATGATTCTGTCTCCCTCTCTCCTCTCTGAAATGAAAAAAATTAAAAAAAAATTAAAAACAATGGGAAGATGTCCTCGGGTGAGGATTAAACAAAAAAGAGGGGCGAGCCTGGGCCAATCACAGTCTCCCTTGGGCAGTGACAGGGATCTGGATGCTACCTTTGTCTGTTTTCGCAAACAGCCCCGGAGCAGCGGTATTGAGCCATCACTCGCTGAAATAACTAAGGTTCTTCTAGGCGAGCGAGGTGACGGCACACTGGTTAAAGGGACCAGCCAGGCTAGACAGGGAACCACAGAACTGCAACATGCTGGGAACGAGAAACCACCACCCTACGGTGACCAGACGTCCCGCTTTTGGCGGGACAGTCCCAATTTTTAACAACTTGTCCCGATTTTTGAAAATCGGGACTTTTTAAAAACGCCACAGGATGCGGGCTGAGTTTGTTAAAGATCGGGACATCTGGTCACCTTACACCACCCATATATGCTGGTAACGACGTGAACCGTATAGAGTAGAGTTGAATAAGCCATCTGTCACACTGCGCACTGTACACTGTAGTCCACAATATAGCACTTCCAGTACTTCGTTCTTGCGGGTGTTTAAAAACACCCTGCAGCCCGAACCAGTTTGGCTCGGTGGATAGAGCGTCGGCCTGCGGACTGAAAGGCTCCAGGTTCGATTCAGGTCAAGGGCATGTGCCTTGGTTGCAGGCACATCCCCGTAGGGGTTGTGCAGGAGGCAGCTGATCAATGTTTCTCTCTCATTGATGTTTCTAACTCTATCCCTCTCTCTTCCTCTCTGTGAAAAATCAATAAAAATATATTTAAAAAAACCACACAAAACACCCTGCAGGCATAAACCAGGGAGTCAGAAGTGCGCTCTCTGGTGGGAGGGAAAGGGTACTGCAGGGTGCGGAACAGGAAGCAGAGCTGTTTGCTGGTGTTTTTATAACCAAACACGACATGGATGCACAGGACATAAAAGGGAAACCCTTAGGGGGTTATTTGGGAAAGACGTTAGCCAGGTTTCCCAATGGATGAGTTAAACTTTCCTTGTGATTTTTTTTTCTTCATTATGTGGACTTTTTATTATATGTATCTGACCCTCCTCAGTAAGCACCAATTTCCCCCCAGTTGCAGCCCTGCCTGCAACGATGAGCAGAATATCGGTCCCGAGGCCATAGATCCGACGTGAGGGCTTATGTGGTGCAAATGCCGTTGATTAACGGGAGTGGAAACGGGCCCACTCGTGTTCCTCCCATGAGGGACTGTTACAGAGACCCATGACAATCAAGGCGGGAGAGTTTGGAGATTCACTTGTCTCACCGCGGTGGGCTTAGAGAAAAAAGATTTCAAATTGTGAGCAAAGGTACAAGCAGAGCTTCCCTTTTTATTAAGGAGCTCTGTGCGATGAGCGGTTATCTCGCTCGCTGCTGTTCTTGAAAACAAACACAGCCAAATGTATGGGCATACCCAGTCTTGGCCTGCAAGGTCAGACGGCTAATTTTATGATCCTCGTTTTACAAGCAGGCTAGAAGGCAAACATTTTTTCAGAATAAGAGGCCGTCTTAGAAAAACAGCAGGAAATTCCAAACAGCGGCTGTTTTTTGTTTTGTTTTGTTTTGTTTTTACAAAATAGGGGTTCTCCTTCTCAGGACTAGTGAGAGCCTCCTCAGACCATCGAACGCTCACACTTCCTTCCAAACCCATTTCTCCGTTCGTTTTATTCTTGCTCCTCCCTGCACTTCCTGTGTGCAGCGCCCAGACTCCTAGGGCCTGGTGCCGGGTGTGCTTTTCCTGAAAACCCTGGAACACACACACAAGAGAAGGTCCTTTTCCACAAGCTCTTGGCCTGTTGTGTGAAGCGGAGGGCTCCGGGGCTGGGACCCTGTGACAGTGTCGCCCTCTTGTGGTTTGTAGCTGTTACTGCTACCAGGGGGGCTCTTTTTGGCCCAAAGAGAGTCCCCTCCGGACCTTTTCCTTCCTGGTCCATCACAGCTGGTTTCTAATGACTGTAAGGTTTGAGGCGCAGGAAACTGACCACCAAGGAGCTTTAAAGTGAAGTTTATTCCCCAGTAATGAGCGGGACTCATTACGGAGGTAGAGAAGTCAGAATGGAAGGAGTCGGGAGGGGGGATGGACCCAGCCGGGCTGCCGCCTGGACGTGAAGGATCAGCAGCGCCATGACTGGTCTGGGGGTCTTTTTAAGGGGAGGAACAGGAGAGGGTTGGACCCAGGGCAGAACAGGAAGGGGTGGGCTCCAGGACACTTTGGCAGGCGCTGATTGATGGCTCAATGTCTTGGAGATGTCTCTGTGACAGGTGCCAGTAATGTCATAACTCCGCCCACCAGTTGGGAGGAGGAAGACCCTTATAATGACCGCCGTTACCAGCATGCCCCAGGGTGACATCGCGGTCCCCGAGTTTTGGGGACCCTGTTGGAGGCGAGGATTTGAACTGCAAACGGTCACTAGGATCTCCAAAGGGGATGAGCCAGCGGCGAGGCAGGGCTAGAGGCTCGGGGGTAAGCGGCAGTCCGGATGGTCCCGGTGCCCAAATAAGGTCTGAGAGCCGTGGCTCCTGGCTCTCGGGTGGGAAACGGGTCGGTGTCCCCAGCAGACTGACCGGGAATGTTCGGACCGGAACCCGGATCCTCTGACCACCGCGGTGGAAGAAGGAAGCCGCAGGCAGAAGGTGGCCGGGCCACGGTGGCGGTTTAATGAAGAGCAAGCACAGACTCCCCCGAGGGGAGAGGGGAAGGGGCCCACGGAGCTCCTTTTCCCTGCGGCTTGTTCATGGCCGTCCCGGCTAGCACCGCGGGTTTGGCACATCCCGGTGAATACCGCAGAGCCCGCGGTATGCACGGGCACACCTTGTAAAGGCCGCAGGGCCTTGTGCCTTGGTGTCCCCTCTGATGGGTCACTGTATCCTCGGGTTGGTTACTATGGAAACTCCTGAGCCCAAAGGTCCAACCTCACATGGGACAGGTGAGGTTCTCCCCGCTCCGCCCTTATTGTTTCCCTCTTCCCCCTGGGCTTCCTCCTCCTCCTCCTGGAGGAGGGGCTCCTTCCCCGGATTTAGTAAACTCAGGCCTTTTGCAGGTCCCAGCGGCCTCATTCTATGGAAATGCACCTGTTGCAGCTGTTCCGCTCCCCCATTCGATAGAAATAGACCTTCTGCTGCTCTGCAGCCCTGTGCTTCCTCCTTGGTCCCCGTAATTTCTAAACTTCCCTAAGCCTGTCCTGTGTTTCAAGCGGAACAGCGTCAGGCAGTGTACGCGGGCCGCAAGGGTCCCGGGTGCCGGTGGGGAGCATTCCGTCCCCTTGCGACGGAATGCTCACGCTGCAGGGGCGGCGAGGCCCTCTGCACAGAAGTTGGCGGGAGGGGAGGGGTGGCCCACGTTTTCTCTGCTGCTCTCAAAAGGCTCCCTTTCATCTGTCCGTGCTCATGTGAACTGTGGGTGGCAAGATTGTCCGCGCACATTGCCTGTGTGCCCCCGAGAAAGACCCCAGGGCCCCCAGACCTGCCTCAGGGCAAAGGGAAGGGCAGTCCCAAAGGGAACGTGCCTTTATGGCCGCTTGAGTGCACAAGTCCCATCTGGGCCTGGGAGCCAGCTGCTGCCGGACACGGCGGGGCCACGGGAGGAGATGATCCCCAACCAGCAGCATCTGTTTCCTTCTCGCCGGCGCCTGGGGTTCGAGGCAGTTTCCGGGAACTGTTTCACCTACTTCAGTGAGGAACAGGCATGTTTGCTGAATGGGAAACGGGGACATGGGCCCCTTCCTGTCCCCCCCCCCCATTCCCACCCCATGGGGGTACAGTGAGGCCACCAGTGATGTGTAAGCAGGCTGTGAGGCCGTGGGAGCCTGGCCGGCTCCTTGGACTAAGAAAGGCCACGGAGAAACCGCTTCTGGGCGTGAGTCGGCATGGTCGCCGCTTGCCCCAGGACACAGCTCCTCAGTCCCCCACGGGCCCTGCCGGGCTTGTCTTCTGTCTCCTATAGAGCCTCGCTGTGGGAGTCTGGGCTGCGGCAAAACAACGGCACCGGCGCCGGCAGGCGGTCCCCGGTGCGACCCATGTGCAGGCCGTGTGGGACACGGAGGAAAACGTGGGTGCAAAGGTAAGTCCTGCTAGGAACACACATGTCTCGCAGCCGGTGCTCTGGGCTCTTTGCCTGATACGTGCCATGGCCGAGTGCATTTCGTGTCTACATGTTTAGTGACATGAAAGCAACCGCTGCAGGTAGGAGGGGGTGAGCATTCGGAGTAGGTGAGGAGCTCTGGGGTCTTGGGCTGGAGGACAGGTCAGACCCAAGCCACCTCTGCTTCCTTCCTCTGTCAAATGTCCTGAGAGCGAACCTGACAGAGCCTCAGGGACTCCACGGAGAACTGTGGTCCCCTGTTTGAGCCACGTGTGCCACCAGGGTCCAGCCAGGGGATAGGCCCCTCGCCGGGTGTATCGACCAGAGAGGATTTTTAAC